TATAGTAACCTAGGGTGTTTAGTTGAAACTAGGTTGTTATAGTAAAGTAGGTTTATTTTCCTGCTGTGGCTTTTTTTTTTTTTGGGTTGTTTGCTAGTCGGTCAACAATTGACATCTGAATCGTCCACAAGAGAATGAACAAGAAATTCAAATGATGAACCGCAACTAAATGATAATGATATACAAGAAATTCAAATGATGAACCGCAACGAAATGATAATGATATTTTGATACATTTTTTTAACAATGAGTCCGACGTAAGTCTAAAGTTGGTACCTGATTGTGTCCTTATTTTTGTTGTACTTTGTCTGTGTTTGATAAGTCTATCCAAAATTTAGGCTGCTCTTTTATGTGTTTTTGCTTGAATTTTTTATAAGCTCTTTAAGGACTAAATTTTCTACCAAAAATAAATAATTTTAACCTAATTTTTGAAAATTAAATGAAATTCATAACCAAAAAAATTTTGCACAACACATTGCTTTCACACCTCAATACATCATTTATATTAAATAATCGGATTGACAATTATAGAAATTGGAGTAATAACCTCTTTAGGATTTAGATGAAAAGATAATCACACGAATATTCATTACATATAGATTTTCTTCATACATTGCATGTATATTTTATTCCTTATTTTAAGACCCTCACTCATTACGAAAAGGGGTAATTTGTCCCGTGAAGACCACTACTTGATAGAGTGAGTTATGTCACTGCATACTGGTTGACCTTTTAAATAAATCATTTTCTCATTCATTATCAAGGTAGTGCATACATATTCACAGCTTGCTATTATCACTTTGCACTAAGATCTAACCAACATTATAAAACAAACTTGAGTGTAGTGAGCTATAAGAAATTTAAAATTTAAATTACAAAAATAAACTCACATTAGGCTCAGGACATTGTGCATACCATTCATACTTAAACACATTGATATTTTGTAATCAAGTTGTAAGACCTACTATGCATAATAACCAACAACTTATCCTATCATGCATTCATTGAGACTAACCTTTTGTTATTTTAAATGTGTTTAGGTGGTTTGGATGATGTCGACCGTTTAAAAGTTAGAAATTGCCGATCGTCGGAATGGATATCCCGACGCCAGACAATTTCTAACTTTTAAACGACCGACTGCTTCTGGCGACTCCACTGGAGAAATAGAAAAGGGATGCCGGAGACAATTGTCAGGGAAACTGATGGCCACGACAAAGATTCGATTTGGTGTGGAAAAGTTTAATTTTAGTTTAAATTTGATTTAATTTTAATTTTAAAAAAAAATTTAGAATTAAGGATGTCTGAAGAGACCAGATCGAGAAGAAGGGGTGCTCCATTGGGGAGAAAAGCTCGGAGAATCACATCCAACCCAAAAGGTAACGAAAGTGTTGAGAATGTCGCATTAGGAAGGAGAGCTCTGAGACTCACATCCAACTTAAGAGGTGACGAAAAGGGAGTAGGACAGAGACCTACTATCTCAAGGGAGTAGAACGGAGGTCTACAATCTTGAGTGATGTTATGGGAGTAGGACGGAGGCCTACAATCCCGAGGGAGTAGAATGGAGGTCTACAATCCCGAGTGCTGAGATGGGAGTAGGACGGAGGCCTACAATCCTGAGGGAGTAGAACGTAGGCCTACAATCTCGAGTGTTGAGATGGGAGTAGGATGGAGGCTTACAATCCCGAGATAGTAGAACAGAGGTCTACAATCCCAAGTGCTGAGATGGGAGTAGGACGGAGGCCTACAATCCTGAGGAAGTAGAACAGAGGTCTACAACCCCGAGTGCTGAGATGGGAGTAGGACAGAGGCTTACAATCCTGAAAGAGCAGAGCAGAGGTCTACAATCTCGAGTATTGAGATGGGAGTAGGATGGAGGCTTATAATCACGAGGGAGTAGAGCGGAGGTCTACAATCCAGAGTGCTGAGATGGGAGAAGGACGGAGGCCTACAATCCCGAGGGAGTAAAGCGGAGGTCTACGATCTCGAGTGCTGAGATGGGAGTAGGACAGACGCATACAATCCAAGGGAGTAGAATGGAGGTCTACAATCCCGAGTGCTGAGAAGGTTGTGGGAGTTGCGAAGCTTGTGGAGGATTTTGTGAAGTGTCGAAAATACGGAAAATTTACGGAATTTTGCATAGAGTATTAAACTTTGTGAAAAGGATATGAAGACTTGTGAAATTTGTGTAAAGCGTGAATTGTAGTAATTCATGCGGGGAACACGGGGTGTGAAAGAAAAGTGGAGTGCGGAGTGTGAAGAACGTAGAGTGTGAAAAAACGTGGAGAATTTGCTTATCATTTTTATCATTTTCATCATTATTAAAATTATCAAATTTGACTTCCTTTTATTTTTCTTTAACTTTGATATTTCTTTTAATTTTTATTCATTATAAAATTTCTTTTGTATTCTTCTTTGTTCGTCAAAGTTTAGGACCAAATTATGGTCACACGGCTTTTCATCAATCACACAAAAAGATAATTTGACAAATATGATGAAATCTGAAAGAAACTTTGTTAAACTTTTCTTCAAACGTGTAGTACAACCGGATGTATGCTGAAATGTCAGAAAGCAACATGCTGAGTACATCTGAAATATCATATATCGTGTCTGCTCCGCTCAAATATTGTACAAAAAGTAACAAATATCTGTCCCCTGAGGCAAGCTCATGGTTAAGCCAACCTTCTAAGCCAAGCTTCATGACAAGAGTTCCTTTCTCGCGTACTTAGAGGTACACCTTTTTTTACAACTCTTACGGACGCAATTCTTCTAACTCTGCATCTGACTGGAATCCATGTGGTACTTTGATGTCGTCCATTCTTCTTAATGTGCAGAAACCCTGCGATACGACACTCCTGGGATGCAATGCTTTGCCAAGTCTGCTCCGTTTCCTTTTAAAATTAGAATTGAACCCACCGGCAGCAAAATCTCGACTGATCCTCTGAATTCTCCGAGTCTAACAATGTCAATTTCTCTTCCAAATAAAATGTTTCTCTTGCTCATGAAGGTACTGTACAGAAATGTCTAACAAAATCATAATGATCTATGTGGGGAGGAATGCAGTCCCCTTCCTCGTAGATGTTGATGATGCAGCTGTTCGGGATGCAATTCGCCGGTATTATGCTCCATCTTACCAATATTTTAATCATTCTCTTTATTGCGGACGACATGAGATCCACCTCGTCATATCTCAAGATGCTTTGGGGGTTTCCTAGCCTGTCCCTAACAAAAGCAGCATCCACACTGAATAGTAATTCTACCTTTCCCCTGCATCCATTCTGCGGCTCAACATATGTCTTCTTCTTCAATAATCCAGCTCGACCTCTGTTCATGAGATCAAAAACACAGTCCTGAATCTTTCTTTCATCGCTTTCTGAGAATACCCTAGTGTGTAGTTCTAATCCTTCTATAATATTAACAAATTTTCCTTCAATTTCCTCATAATATTCAATTTCTTGCTCCGGACCCTGCTCATCCTTTCTAACTCTGTTGTAGGAATCCTCTGTGAATGTCTGGGTCGCTCTTCTGTCTCATCCTCTGGAGGAATCCATGATGGTGGCGGCTCTGCAAACTGCGGTGTGTATGGCTCGACCTCCGGGTGGTCTGCATTCCTGAACTTCATGCTGGCAATTGTATAATCTTCAAGCGTCCCATACCTCTTCAGGTGGAGGATGTTACACTCTGGGCATTCTGTGAAGGCTTCCGTTGGCAGCGTCCTCGTCGGGATTTCTGCATTGCACATCGGGCATCCTGTGCAAAGCTCATCGGGGACCTCTGGAGGTGTAGACTCCACAACAAACTCTGGTTCATCCTTTGTGAACGACGAACTAGTGGAAGTCTCTCTTAAACACGGATCATAGATTTCTTATTCATTAATCGGAGTGAGTGTTGCCTCTGCTTCATTTGCAGATCTTTTTCCAGACAAAACAGGGCTTTATGTTTGCGATGATTGGCATTTCAGTGCTGCGTTCTTCTCAGCGACACATCAGGTACTCATTCTGCAGAAGCACCGACCAATCTCCGGTCGGCACGGAGATCATCGACTGTAAGCGGCTAGTTTCCTCCATCGGGTACTGTATCATATCTGCTTTCTTCTTCTTCAGTGAGGAGTCTTCCCTGACACTGATTCTGAGCAATGACAGTAGTCCTTTTGCTTCACGGAGGCTGACAACGCCCATCAGGGGACCCTTGTAGTCCACATTGACTTGACTGTAGTCCAAATCAAAACTCATGATGCCGCCCTAAGCTGCCTCTTCTTCATCAAGTGCGAGAATTAAGGCGTTTTTAAAAGCGAAAATCAACTTCTGATCCGATATTTTTCTGCGGAAGCAAGAAAATATCAGTGCACTGAAATTCAAAACGAACAAGAATAATAACAGATCATTATTAAACAAATTTTAATTTTACACAGGTACGTGTGCATTTAGTTTAATTTAATTTAATGAAGTTTCAAAATTTAAGGAGGAAGAGATTCAGATGTGCAAAATTAAAATTTTTATTTTATTAAGATTAATTTTGTTACAAAAATTTTGGATCTAGTCACAGACGCTGACCAAATAAGCATCCTCAGAATGAGTAACAATTCCAAAAAGAAAATTTACTTCAGGTGACATGACGTCGTATAATATTTCTTCAGGTATCGTTCATTGATTGACAACATCAGTCTTTTACCTCGGAAGTCCACTAATTGGTAAGATCCTCATATTTTTCAATTTTATTAAATTCTCAATAGTTTAATCATAACACACATGGATACACAGTTTTGCTAGTTCAAATAATAAGCTGAATGAATTATCCCTTAATTTTCATAATTGAATCCCAATTGAATTTTGATTAACTAGAAGTCGACTCCATGAAAATTTCAACTTTGGTGCAGCACTCAGCTCCTGTAACACATTGCTCCTTCAACGGTCGAAGTCGATGAAGAGTCTGTTTGGGGCAACTTATAAGTGCAGTCGTCGTTTTTAAAATACTCCCGTACTATTTGGTTCACGCGTTTCATTAACTTATCTAAAATTGTTTTTGAATTTTTATACTAGGGATCGAAGCTGCGGCCCAAACAAGCAGTTGAAAGGCATGCACCCAACTGAGCCCAGGTCGGGCGACCAAATCAGCCGACAACAATCCATGAACCCTAATAATCCCGCCGGAAAATTACAAATCCTCTGAGTGCTTCCTTCAAGGTAAACCAACCTTTGCAAAAGGGCTCCATATTGCTCCTTGAGATGCTCTTCGTCCTCCGCCCGCCCCGCCATAACCCTATCCTCCTCCCTCTACGCCATTTCGGCTGCAAATGCTCTGCTCCGGACATCTCTTTCTACAGAGAGTCCTTCGCAAGAAAGATGGCCTTGGCGGGTATCAAACCCCACCACAGGATTGGTGACTTCGCCCACCTCATTCCCGTTCCTCTTCCATTTGTGTTATTTCATCACTTCGGTGAATATTTGAGCTTTCCTTGCAGCTCTTGGAGTCTCTGGTGGCCCGGACAGCATGGCGCTCTGCGTCTTGACGGCCGGTTGGAAGTCTGAAGGGCTTAGCGGGAAGGTTGGCTCATCCGGCTATATTGATGGGCTTTTGGGTATTGTCGTCGACCATAGGTTACGTGATGAGAGCGCCGAGGAGGCGAGGATTGTGCAAGAGAGGGTGATGAAGATGCGTAAGTTGTGGATTTTGCTTTCCCCTAAATTTTAGGGGCTGTCTGGCAACTGATTTAGCCCTGGGTTTAATCTTGATTTAGGCTAAATCTTGCTATACGGTCATTTTGGACAAAATAAAGCTACAAATTTGTTAAATATGGATTTCATGGATTTAAGCTATAAATTCATAATTTAGTAAGGGTCTGTCTGGCAGCGAATGCAATTCAAGTTATGAGGATTTAGTATATCATGATTTGCTAAATCCTAAGTAGGTTAAATCTGAAAAAATGTATGACAATGGATTTATTAAATCTTGTAAATCCAGTAAGACTGTTTAGGAACTTCTGTCAGGATTTAAGGAGAAATTATGACTGTTAGAGTGCGAAAAGATGAACATCACCTTAAAATTTTCGGTAATAGCCAATTACCTTTCCCAAATTATATTTCCCAAATCTCAGGAAAAAACGAGCTTAAATTACTTTTCCAAAATCCTCATTTGAACAAAATCGAACTAACCAAATAAGAGGATAAATAACAACTCATAAGAATTTTTGGTAATAACCAATGCACACCCTGTAGACATCAAAACCAACCCAATAACTCAATTCAATTTACAATAACTACCAAAAACCCAATATCTGGTGGAAAGTCAACAAACCAAACAACTTTGCCATTAATAAGCATTTTTCAATTAGTATAAACTAAAAAATCTGAGTGAAGTTTAAAAGAAGAGATAGAAGACATATATAAGCAGAGACATCCACATTTCCCAAAAAGAAAAATATAAGCAAGGACATTCAAACGTTCTTTGACAATGACACCGATTCAGACCATGCGGAAACATAGGTTATCCAAGCTGATATGCCAACACATCATAAAAGTAGGGATCTCCAAAACACCTTGGAGAATGATATGATCGCCCACCAAGTATAACTTAAACCTCATCTTAAAATTTCAGGCTGGGCATTTAGGAGTGTAAGAGGAAATAAATATCAATTAAGTTTGATGAAGTGATCCGAAAAATAGATATTGTAGCGGTTACCACGCAAAAGCATGGTCATCCAAGTTGCCCTGCCATTGAGTAGGCATCCGATATTACAGTGGTTACCATACAAAAGTTGTGGCGTCCAAACTGTTTCGCCATGGGATCATAAAAGTAGAGATCCCAAAGCTGATATTGCAACACATATATTCTTCTCTTGCTGATAAAAAAGAGTTGGAGATGGAAAACAAATATATGTACAAGTAGTAAATCAATTCACATAAAACTCTAGGATTGAATTGGTGCATATCAACTTACAAGGAAAAATAAATGAAAGCTCAAATATATGTTTCTCCAAGAATGAACTATCTCGAGGACATAGCAAAGTAGGGTTCCGGAACAAGATAGATAATATATTGGAGGAATAAAATGTATCCGTGAATAAAAAAATGTAATATGATTTAATCAACATACTAAAGAATTCAAATCAACAAAGGTCTGTGCAGAATATAATGCTTAACATATTGCAATATCATCAAACCACATCAGTACTACGAAAAGAGAAAAATCTTTATAAATATTACTGTAAAACAACTTTATATCTAACTATTATAATGATTCATCATCAACATGATATAATAACCAAAACATACATACATATTCATGACTGTGCATACAAATACCTCTGCTCGTTATCCATGAAAGTGTCAGGCCTCCTTAGATGTTAAAAGAAATGTTAAGATAAGAATGAAGTCTTTGCATTTTTTCCCCACAAATCAAATTCCATTGATGTACCATGAAGATGCATGTTGTAACCATGTTTCTCAGATAAATCAAACATTTCTTTTTCAAGCAATCCTTTCTCCATATATAATTTTGCTAGTAAAAATTTAATGGTGAATAAATGTGCAAGAAAGTGATGCATAGTTAACAAGTGTTACAACTAGATCTTATGGTATTTTTCCGAATCGCTAATACAAATTTATTAACTAAAAGACTGATTCTAATGTGACACAAACACTGAGGTAAAAAAATGAAAACAAAACAATCAACTGTTGCGTCGTCTTCGTTCAAATTCTTGCAACATAAGTAAAACTAACATTAATATAATTCCTAAATTAATTATAGAAAAGGAGAATGTTTCCAAAATTCTTACACGTGATTCTAATATATTTACAGCAATTGTATGTCGAATTATATCACATTCAAATTTTTTTCTATTACTTACATGCATGTTTAAGTCATCACCCGTGCTCATTAGCTCTCTTAGTTCTTTATCGTGATGCATTTCATTATGTGACATGTTAAAGTATATATCGTCTCCGTGATGTCTATCTATAAACTTATGTAAGTTGACACAAAAATCACTATATCATCCTGCACGCTTATTGAAAACTGACGCATATGTATTAAAACTTGAAACCTCTCACTCTAGTAGTCAAATGTTCTTACAACTACATTTTGTAATTTAACACGACAATAGTTATATAACTCTTTTATTTCCGAGTAATTCTGAGTTCTTCCACGATACTCAATAAGATGATATCGACAATCTCGATAAGGTGCTAATAATTTGTTGGTGTTAGCATATCCCGAGTCAACGAGATAATATCGCCCTTATGACACACAAAAAGATCCTTACTCAACCGATCAAGGAAACACCCTCATATCAGCTACTCATCCCTCCCAACCAATTGCAATAAACAAAAATTGACAGTCAAATGAGATAGCCACCATCACATTTTGTGATGTCAATCCTTTCCTATTACAACATCTTATCTGTGAGTCACAATTAGCAACAACAAGTATATGTGTACCATTGATCGTTCTAATGGTGTTTTCAAAGAAAAGATAAAATTGCCGATTAGAACAGATGAATGAGTGATATTTAAAATTCTCTGTTGGCAATCAAATGTATTTCTTAGCCAAAAATAATAATGACTTTCCAACTTTTCCAATGAACGCTGAAAGAATTCACATAACTGTCTGTAGGAATGTACATGTGAAACTCCTCTTAGAAAAATACCAAGCTGTTCTGCAAAACTCATATTTTTGGTATCACTTAATAGATTGCGATTCACCAGATTTTCTCGTAGTTGGGTGAAAGCTTTTGTTGGGAGCCGAGATGTCCAATAAGAACATCCATAACATACTAATGCTCTTTGTATGCCCTATAAAACATCAGTCTTGGAATAACCCATCATCATCGGATGAACTACTATCAGTTACTCTTGGGAATAGCTTGTTAAGGGCGTTAGTTACATCAGTATATTGTTAATGAGATTTTACATATTGTCCGATACTCTTCCACAAGAGTAATTAGGCATAACTGTGATATTGAAACAAATTTTTTAGACAAAATGCGGCCTTAAGATAATAATTTATTGAGCGTTAAATAACAATGATTACAATAGAAACAACACTGCCTGGATAATAAAATGAATAAAATTACACTATAAAGATAACCTATGAAACACAGACATAAATAAAAAAAACACTACATCAACCAGTGGGTTATTGAAATTTTGACACTGAACAATTAAGATGTTGTTATCGAGGACCTTCAAATCCAGATCAAATATGAATAATAATAAGGATGTTTGGCTAGAATGAACTCAACTCAACATCGAAGCTGAGGACCTTGGTATCCTGAGAGAACATGCCATTCTTGTGTCCTTTGAGCGCATTTAAAAGGAAGAGTGTAGCTTCTTCTAATATGTCAGCTATACTTCTTATTTTTGCAAGAAACTCATTCATTGATATCGGGACATTCTGATCCAATGATTCCTTCAAAGCTACAACAGTCCGCACCTGCGCTGAAAGTAATTTGTTGAATGCCTCCTTATCGACTCTTTTTTTATATCACTTTAACACCAGAACCTTCTCTTCGCTGCGTCGTTTGGTTCCAGCGCTACATGGGTCCATCTCTTGATCTGCCATTGAGTAATCGTTGATTTTTATGCACAGGGTTATCGACATGCTAATATCCTCGATCAAAGTAATATCATTCAAAGCCATGAATTCATCTTTGACTATGTATATTTCATTGGCTTGGTTACCGTCACAACAACTGATTTTCTCCTCAACTCTCGATTAAGAGTTGAGTTCGCCCGTATGCCAACAATAATATTCTCAGCACAAATATTCTTGAATATATCATATTGGTGAAATGGATTTTGTTTAAAATGACTCAACTTTGAATTCTCTTGAAATTCAATGAATTTTAATTAAATCGTGCAAGCAGAATTCCTTAAGTGCAATAATTTGGAAAGAATTATTTTTATCTTATCTATAAGATTTCATCTCAAAGTTCATCTGTTGTTACCGGTAGATGTAGCTCTTCATCCCACCCCCAACTGCTTTTATTTGACATTTATTACACAATTTTGAAATTAGTTTTCATATTTTTGAACTTTGTCATCGCCAATGGTCTGGAATATGAAATGCCTAATTATCTATTAATTGTTTTTATGATATCACTCCATAAACTCTTCTACAACACACCAGTGATAATATTTCTACAGAGATATTGCTCCATGAGTAGCTCCCATAGAACCACATTATGGCTAAATTTTGGTGTTGTCTAGCAACGGATTTAGCCCTGGATTTAAATGGGATGTAGACTAAATCTTGCCAGCTGGTCATTTTGGACAAAATAAAGCCATCAATTTGTTAAATCCGGATTTCATGGATTTCAGCTGCTAATCTTGGATTTACTAAGTCCAATGAATCGACGGATTTAAATCCGCGGGCTAGGGATTTATGACACGGGTAGGTAACAACTAAGTCGATAACATTTGATAAGGCTATCTCTTCCTCCCTCCTAACGGTCTTCTTGTCGAACTTTCGTCTACCGGGCGATGATGCTATATCTATGGTGGGATTGATCGCCTTTCTCTCACGGTAACATTCTCACCTTCTCTATTCGAGCGATTTTCCCCTTTCCGAGTTCCAAAACAGAAATTGTTTTCTTCTTCTTTGCTTTTTCGTTCACTTAAATGAGGTTCGATTCCTCATCATATGGTGTATACGAACAAC